TAAGCCTAGTGCTGACACAAGGGGAAAAGAGAAAGTTGTTGAACCTGTCGAGACAGAAATACCCTCAAAATACATTGCTGATGGGTAACCTTCCGCTCGAGAAATGGATGAGATCTTGAAAATTATAAAAATGAGTGATTTCAAGATTGTGGAGAAGTTGGGGCAAACCCCTTTCAAGATTTCTATGTTATCTTTGCTACTCTGTTCTGATGCTCATGCTCGGGCGTTAATCAAATTCTTGAAGAAGGCTCGTGTCTCTCATGAGACCATAACTGACCAGTTTGGAAATTATGTGGTAAGCTTGACCGTCGATAATGATTCAGGGTTCTCAGATGTTGATCTGACACCACTTGGAAAGAACCATAACAAAGCTCTGCATGTTTCTATTTAATGTAAGGGGACTACTCTAGCACATGTTCTAGTTGACACTGGCTCTTCTTTAAACGTACTACCCAAGGGGGCTTTAGATTGTTTAGACTGTGAAGGACTAGTTTTGAAACCAAATGATATTATTTTGAGGGCTTTCGATGGGTCCAAAAGGACAGTTCATGGAGAGGTGGATCTCCCGATCAAGGTGGGCTCCCAGATTTTCAACTCTACTTTCTACATCATGGATATCCATCCTGCTTACTCCTGTTTGTTGGGTCGCCCTTGGATCCATGGAGCAGGGGAAATAACGTTAACCCTGCATCAAAAGCTTAAGTATCCGGTCAAAGAAATGATTGTCATTGTCTGTGGTGAAGAGGAGTTCATGGTAAACCACCTCAACTCTTTCAAATATGTGGAGATGGATGGTGAATTTGTAGAAACCCCGTGTCAGGATTTTGAAGTTGTACCACCAATGGTTGCTACTGCCAAATTTTCCTCTGATGTGTCCAAAGATGTTAAGGTCGTGCCAAAGATGGTTTCATTCAAAGATGCTCATGCTGCAATCAAAGAAGGAAGTTGTGATACTTGGGGGAAACTCCCCGAGATCCCATTCAAAGCAGACAAATGTGGTTTGAGTTTCACTATCAAGGCTCAGAAAGAAGTGAGACGCGCTCGTGAAGGGAAGCCCCCTCTCCGTATTGGAAGTCATGAAGTTAACGTTGTGGGTGATTCTGATGATGAATGTGCATTTGAAGAATGGGTATACCCTACTACAACAAAGCTCAACAATTGGCACGCAAAGGAATTCGTTCCCGTCTTCTTTGTTGAGGAGTAATTACTTGTTTATTGCTTTCTATTAATTCAAGAACATTTTGTCTGTAATATTAAACAATAACTTTTAAGTCATGTGTCTGGCCCGGGGCACTATGGTCCATTTGTCAAAGGTTTTATTTATGTTCATTTTATCATATGATCATTCAATACAAATCATTGGACTTTTGCATTCAAATCTTTGTGCTCACTGTCTTTCTTTTTCTTCAAATACGTTTTTCAAAGTTGCCATGTATCTTACATGCACACACACACACTCTTGCAAGTCCTCATCCACTCCGGATCACATTGCCAATGACTCTACTATTGCCGACTATGACTTCAAACGTCCAATTAACCAAGCAAAAGACGAAGGCGGGGAAGATTGTGAAATACCGGGAGAACTAGCCAGACTTCTATTACAAGAGGAAAAATCTATTCAGCCACATGAAGAGTCAGTTGAAGTCATCAATCTAGGTACCGAGACGGACAAGAAAGAGGTCAAGATCGGCGCTAACCTGGAAAGAATTGTCAAAAGCAGATTAGTTCGGATGTTGCATTATTATGTGGAAGTGTTTTCTTGGTCGTATGAAGATATGTCGGGGTTGGATACCGACATTGTAGTTCATCGTCTGCTGACAAAGGAAGATTGTCCTCCTGTCAAACAAAAAGTTCGTCGCATGAGGCCTGACATGTCTGAAAAAATAAAAGCTGAAGTGATGAAAAAATTTGATGCAGGATTCCTAGTTGTGACATCTTATCCTCAATGGGTTACAAATGCGGTGTTAGTGCCGAAGAAAGACAGAAAAGTTCGCATGTGCGTAGATTATAGGGATCTAAATAGGGCAAGTTCCAAGGATGACTTCCCTCTACCTCATATTGATGTCTTGGTCGATAACACTGCTCAACGTGAAGTCTTCTCTTTCATGGATGGTTTCTCCGGCTATAATAAAATTAGGATGGCTCGCGAAGACATGGAGAAGATCACTTTAATTATGCAATGGGGTACCTTTTGCTACAAGGTCATGTCGTTCAGATTGAAGAATGTAGGGACAAAATATCAAAGGACTATGGTAGATTTGTTTCATGATATGATCCATCATGAGATAGAGGTATATGTGGATGATATGATTTCAAGATCACAAACAGAAGAGGAGCATCTCAATCACCTATACAAGCTATTTGAGAGGCTGAAAAAGTACAAGTTGAGGTTGAACCCTAATAAGTGCACATTCGGAGTACGATCTGGAAAGCTTCTAGGTTTTGTTGTCAACTGTAAAGGCATCAAAGTCGATCCTGCCAAAGTGAAGGTCATCCAAGAAATTTTAGAGGATTCTTGGGTCGTCTTAACTACATCTCCCGCTTCATATCTCACTTAACTGCTACTTGTGAGCCAATCTTCAAACTCTTGAAGAAAGATCAAGTAGTCAGATGGAATGATGAATGCCAAGCTGCCTTCAACAAAATTAAAGAATATCTGCAAGAACCTAATATCCTCATGCCTCCAGTCGAAGGAAGACCCTTGATCATGTACTTGACAGTACTAGAGAATTCTATGGGGTGTGTTTTGGGCCAACATAACGAGTCTGGCAAGAATTCTATTGATTGTTTCTGCCCAGAATTGCTTTGGTAGGCCTGATTGAACATGCAATCTTCTAGCTCTTTCTGTCAACGTCTGGTTCATACGCTCAGCTACACCATTGTGTTGAGGCGTACCTGGCACGGTCCTCTCCATTCTGATCCCATGCTCATAGCAGAACTTCTTGAATCTGGTGTCTTCGTACTCACCACCATTGTCGGTTTAGAGCTTTTTGATCTTCAATCTGGTCTCATTTTCTACCATGGCTTTCCACACCTTGAAAGCCTCGAATACGTCAGACTTATATTTCAGAAAGTATACCCATACCTTTCTAGAATGATCATCAATAAAAGTCACAAAGTATTTCTTCCCACCAATAGATGAGACGGTAGTTGGACCCCAAACATCAGAGTGGACAAGATCGAGTTTCTCCTTCTTTGGGGTTCTCCTACTTGTCTGAAAGCTAACTCTCTCCTGCTTTCCAAGTATACAGTCTTCGCACATGTCAATTTCTATTGACTGAAGACCTGGTAGTTTTCCATTTAAGTGCATGACCTTCATTCCTTTCTCACTCATATGGCCTAGTTTTGGTGCCATAGATTGGGACTTTCATTTACTGCAACTGCAATCAAATGAAATGCTCCAGCTGTCTTGTAATGAGTACCACTCTTTTTACCACGAGCAACTATCATTACACCTTTAGAAATCTTCCAATGATTTCCATCGAAGATTGTTGTGTAGCCATCACTGGCCAACTGGCCTACTGAGATTAAGTTCTTCGTCAGGTCAGGAATGTGTCTGACATTCTTCAGTTCCCAAACAGACCCGTTCAACTTAATCTTCACTAAACCTTTTCCCACAATCTCACAAGATTGTTCATTACCAAGGTATACTTTACCAAGATTCTCGGGGACATAATTTTCGAAGAACTGTTTCTGTGAAGTTGCGTGAAAGGATGCTTCAGAGTCTAACACCCAAGACTCTTCCTTGCTCTCCAAAGAACATATCAATGCATCACCTCCTCCTGAGGTTGAAGCAATATTTGCCTCATCTTTCGCCTCCTGATTCTTCAATGCACTCCTGCACTGATTTCTGTAGTGTCCGGTCTTCCCGCAATTCCAACACTCGATAGTCTTCGAGCTGTTAGAAGTATGATGATTTCTGAACTTTGATCGTCTCACTTTTGATTTGCCTCGTCCGCTTCCTCTAGTTGAACTTCTTCCTCTTGACTCTGTATGCAATACTGAAGAGGTTGACGATTCATCCAACTCTCTCCGCCGGATATCTTCACTGAGAATCAAATCACGGACATCATAATATTTCAACTTGTTGCTTCCCGATGAGCTACTCACGACTGTGACGGTAGCACTCCAACTTTCTGGAAGGGAAGACAAGAGTATCAAAGCCCGTACTTCTTTATCAAAGTCGATTCCAACTAAACTCAATTGGGTTGTAACAATATTGAGTTCGTTCAGATGTTGCGTTGTTGATGCACCTTCTGTCATCCGTAAGTTGAACAATCGCCTCATCAAATGAACTTTGTTTGAGGCCGACGGCTTTTCGTACATACTGGAAAAAGCTTTCATAAGATCAACCGTTGTCTTTTCTTTTGCAATGTTGAAAGCAACATCACCGGATAACGTCAATCGAATGACTCCAAGAGCTTTTCTATCGAGAAGGGTCTAGGAATTGTCATCCATTGTCGTTGGTTTCATGCATGTGAGAGGTTCATGCATTCCCTTTTGATACAAATAATCTTCTATTCACATCTTCCAAAAGCTGAAGTCCGCACCATCGAACTTCTCAATTTTCACCTTTCCTTCGTCTGCTGCCATCGCTCCCACTCAAGTCTGACTCCTCTGGATCGCTTATGAAACGGAAAGAATCAACCGACTCTGATACCCGTTGTTATGAAACTACGCAAAATTTCCCTATGATCAGATTCGTAGAAAGCGGTATAAAATGTGAAATAATAACAATACAAGTTGATATAGCAACTGCGGACTTTATTTATGAAAGATAAAATACACAATGAAAAGACTCTTAATGTTGAAATATTTATTGTTTATGCATTTGCCTTAATTTATAGCAAGTAAAACAAAACAACGTAGCACTCTGTATGTTTTTCTTCAAAGCATCAGTTTTATTTCTTATAATAACTTCTTCATTAATAACTGATGGTGTTTAAGATTTTCATGACTTTTTCAACACTAATAGCAGCTCCAATGATTTAACACCGCCATCATTGTTCAACCTCCAATTCTTGAGAATAACCAACAATCTTCTTAAGTAGAGGGATGACACCGATCAAAGCAATTTGAAGTTGTTCTGAACTATTTAACCGAAAGCTTATTTGTCCAACCCCACGATTGTTCAAATTGCCTCGCGAGACAAGGTTTGTATATCTTCCAATGGGAATTTGTGATTGTAAATTGCACCCAACAGCAAGATCTCTATGCCAATTCACAACTGAAAGCCCAAGCGTTGACAAAGTGCGTCCTAGAGGGTAATTTTGATCACTCAAGCGGGCCTCCAAACTGCCACCGTAAGCAACATCATCACGCCCTATCATTGCACCACCAGCAATAAAGACCTCAAATAGCTTATTAACAATCAACTTGTCTTCGACTTTAACTCCGGCTGACAACGCATCACCCAAGAGAGTAAATGAGAGACCCGCAGTTGCTTTATTTCTCCTAAAATTACAAAATTTTGTCTCACTACGTAATGTGTAAGCTAAGTCTTTTCCAACCGTCTGCATATCAAAACCTAACGAAGTTGCTTTCCCTTCTCCATACTTAGCTGAACTGGCTATTTCCATCTGAACATTGGCATCCTTTTTACCCTTAGTAACTTTACCACTAAAAGACAAGGGTAACTTGTTTTTAAGAACAAACAATCTTTCTACATTTAAGCCTTCATAACCCACATCATGATCCCAGCCATGAGTTTCTAGTACAGGTCTTACAAGCCACTGGTTGGATGAATCAAGAAAACGATACCGGTGAGTGGGAGTCTCAGAATCAAAGGAAGCGGGCAAGGACATATCTGGCATGGGAACAGGAACAGAAGCTGCACCACCAATTTCTTCCTCGGCATTTTCACTATAATCACTTGGCAGGTCTTTTAACGATTCTGCCATTTTCTTCATAATCTTTCGTCGCTTTTTCTCATCCTTTAGTTGTTTCTTCATAAAAAGCTTTTCTCGGTACTCAATCTCATCTAGATATGCTTTCTTCTGAGCTCTGGAAAGGTTTCTGATCTGGGCCTTTGTCAAAGGTTTAACCTTAGTGTTATGTTCTCTCTTCTAAGCTCATGCTCGCAGAAGCCTCTGAAGTACAGAAGGAAAGAAGATAATGTTAACGTGGTACAATAGTACATGGTACAATTAAAACATTTCATTCCACTATCATGAAGGACGGACGTTGCGTACGATCTTGTCCCCCATGTGATTCAAGCCGCCAAAGATTTTGAAAATCCCAAGAGTACCCTCAACGGGTATATTATTTTATTGGCTATATAAATGGCTTGAAGACTAAGAAAAAAGCTGCTAATTCACGCCAATTCACATTCTAAAGAGACTGTTCATACACTTTCATATTTCTCTAGTCTATGTTCTAAAATTATTGTTTACATATCCGCTTGTATAGAAGCATAATTTCTTATAAACAAAATTTGTTCAAACAGTTGTTTGATTTTCCTTAAGGGACCAATTATGTCAGAATCCTTGAGAAGTCTAAGATTAGTGTGTCTTAGCGGTTGTAACGTTAGTCACTAGCAGTTAGCTTGTGCATTGTAATAATCAGTTTGATTATTGAATTAAGTCCTTATTTGATAAGGAGAAATCACCTTGACGGATTGACTAGACTAGCTTGATAGTTTTCCAATGAACTAGTATAATCATATCTTATTCTTTACTTCATGTTCTTAACATACCTTCTCATATTATCAGCACTAGTTTGGCATTTAGATCTCTTAGTGGAGGTGCGTTCCACACCTTGTTTCCCATTATTAGTTCATGCAGTGTATATGTGTAACAAGTTTAGAACTTAATAAGTTTTAACTTAGGAGGAGTCACATCCTTAGGATTACAATTTATTATTGCGATTAGAAATAGCAAATTATATAAACCAATACTTAATGTAATTTATTCTATATGCTAGTATAAATAAATGTGACTGCGGTCTAATAATTTAGACACACATAATCACAAATTCAATTATGTTTTAGTTTACAACCATTCTGCTGACATAGATATGACTGGTTAAAATATATAACCGATGCCATAGGGTAAGATGTAATATATCTGTCATTCGTGACAAGCACAAATATGTATGAGAATATATGATTAAATTCTATTCTGAAATTTTATTATTATACCATAGCACCATGCCATAAGTCTACAAAAAAATATATATTTCTGAAACAGAAGAATAAAAAGAGAGGCAATTAAGTTATATTACAAAAGCAACTTCAATTATATCAACCTCTCCAAAGAAAGAGTTCATGTTATGAATCGTTGCATTACTCTCATGCATTTAAAGAATGAAAAGCTCAAAAGCGTTACATTACCTGAATAAAAAGTAGAAGATTATGCCTATATAGGATGTTGTGCTAAAATCCAAAATTCACTTCTTTTAAATAGAAGCATGGTCTTTGATAGAACATTATGGCAAAAGTTGATTCATCTAGCCGACTCCACCTAATAGGATAAGGTGTAGTTGTTGTTGTATGGCCACGCCGAATCGAATGCTCGGTGAAAATTGTTATATACTAGGAAAGAGGAAAAAACAATAAATTTTAACTAAAATATAGAGCAAATTGAGGAAACAACACATATAAGGTAGAAAATCAGAAGAGAAATCTCTAAGAAGAAACAAACCACGAAGGCACAAAGTGTAATATGCGGAGAACCAAAAAATATATCCTAAGGGTATGTTTAGAGAACTTATTTTTCTTTTGTATACTAAAGAAGCTATAAATCGTGTCTAAACATAAATTGAATGTGATTGAAAGGTTATATAACTATCTATCATGTTATTCTTTCCGTTCTATTAAAATCTCAAACATATACTAAAATATAGACTTAGTGTATGTTTGGTTATGCGGCGAAAAGAATTGATTACGAGTGAATTGATTTTGTAGAATTGATTTTAGTTAAAAGTGAGTTTGATGTAAAGTGATTTATGTTTGGATACATTTATGTAAAATGAGTTAAATAACAAATTTCAATGTAAAAATCACGTTTAAACTCAAAAGCTACAAATTGTAACTTCAAGTATGGAGTCAGAATCAATCCTATTTTAAGAGAAACAAACACCTCAAAATCATTTCAGAATCAATTCTAAACTCTAGAATTGATTCTACCTTCTCCAAAAGTGGAACCAAACATACACTTAGCCATCCAAAATTATCAACCCAAACATATACCCTTAAGGTACAAAAAAAAGTGACCACAAGACAATAAAAATTAACATGGAAGAGTGCTTCTGACAATATGCAGGGCAAAAGACAACGCTTTCAATTGAAAAATCTATATGCATATATATGAGGAACATATAAGTAAAAAAGATGCATTACTTGGAGTCCTGCAAGCATAATGTAAAGAATACCAAAAGATACTATCTAACAAGGGAGACAACAATGGCTATGATCAAGTAATAGGACATTTTTGGTATAGAAAACATGAAAACAAAATATAGCATCTTTCTTGTTTCAAAGCTTCTAACGAGAGATGTCATCTTAAATTAATTACCTATTACGGTGCAGGGGTTGCAGCTCCCATAATTTAACACCGCCATCATTGTCCAAACTCCAATTGTTGAGAATAACCAACAATCTTCTTAAGTAGAGGGATGAGACCAATCAAAGCAATTTGAAGCTGTTCTGAATTATTTAATCGAATGCTTATCTGTCCAGCCCCACGATTGTTCAAATTGCCTCGTGCAACAAGGTTTGTATACCGTCCAATGGGAATTTGTGATTGTAAGTTGCACCCAACAGCAAGATCTCCATGCCAATCCATAACGGAAAGCCCAAGCGTTGATAAAGAGCGTCCTAGAGGGTAATTTTTATCTCTCAAGCGGGCCTCCAAACTGCCACCATAAGCAACATCATCATGCCCTGTCATTGCACCACCAGCAATAACAACCTCAAATTGCTTATTAGCAATCAACTTGTCTTCGACTTTGACTCCAGCTGACAACGCATCACCCAAGAGAGTAAATGAGAGACCCGCAGTTGCTTTATTTCTCCTAAAATTACAAAATTTTGTCTCACTACGTAATGTGTAAGCTAAGTCTTTTCCAACCGTCTGCATATCAAAACCTAACGAAGTTGCTTTCCCTTCTCCATACTTAGCTGAACTGGCTATTTCCATCTGAACATTGGCATCCTTTTTACCCTTAGTAACTTTACCACTAAAAGACAAGGGTAACTTGTTTTTAAGAACAAACAATCTTTCTACATTTAAGCCTTCATAACCCACATCATGATCCCAGCCATGAGTTTCTAGTACAGGTCTTACAAGCCACTGGTTGGATGAATCAAGAAAACGATACCGGTGAGTGGGAGTCTCAGAATCAAAGGAAGCGGGCAAGGACATATCTGGCATGGGAACAGGAACAGAAGCTGCACCACCAATTTCTTCCTCGGCATTTTCACTATAATCACTTGGCAGGTCTTTTAACGATTCTGCCATTTTCTTCATAATCTTTCGTCGCTTTTTCTCATCCTTTAGTTGTTTCTTCATAAAAAGCTTTTCTCGGTACTCAATCTCATCTAGATATGCTTTCTTCTGAGCTCTGGAAAGGTTTCTGATCTGGGCCTTCGTCAAAGGTTTAAATGGCGGTAAGTCATCAGGGTCTGTTTCATCACCAGAATCCGATGGCTCGTCAAGAACGTCATCGAGACTGTCCTCATCACTGAATTGCTCCTCAGGCAACTTTAACTGCGGTCTTGACTGCAGAAGGGATGGAAGAAGATATGGTAACGGTGGCCCTCTTGTGCGAGCTGTGTAATGCTTTTCCGGTGGGCTATCTTGTAACTTAAGAAGGGCATTTGCTTCAGCCATAACTTTTGATGCAAAAGATAAGAGTAACAGATGTGGTTTCCAAACCAGACCATTAGGCAACACTCTTTGGCCGGACGTATCGATTCGGCATGCAGAGTGGTTCTCCACCAACGATACAGGATTCATGAGGCGCATATCACCAGCCGCTTGACGAATGGCTTGCTGCACAACATGAGATCGGTGTGTGACAAACATGTCATAACTGGAAGGAGTACCATTAGGGCCATCAGGAGGTGCAGATGCTGCATGAGTCAAACCCACGATAACATTGAACCATATAGATGGTCCAAAAATGTCAGTAATTGTGCGTAAGAGCGGCATATCACTAAAGTCCAGGCTCAGTATATCACTAAAGTCCAGGCTCGGCATATCTATTCTATCAAGATAAAGCACAATATCAGGTGGTGATTTCTTAATAAAGCGCTTGACAGATTGCAAGATTTTCTCATTATGTCGCCGGTCTGACCAGGAAGGTAGAAGTCCGGGTGTATCAATGACTCGGACTTTAATGCCCTGTACTGTTCCGACAACATCCTGAACCTTTTTTGTTCCCATATTAAAAGCATCAGTATTAAATTTAACTTCGTCAAAGATAGAATTGATAGTTGCAGTTTTTCCAACTCCAGTCTTTCCAATAATCATTATTGTACAAGAGAAATCAAGTGGTTCTTGACCCGCTGATTCAAGTTGCTTGGCCATGGCACTTGCACGATCAATGGCATACGCGCCAACACGGCCCCCATTCTTCCCTCTGAGCTGTTCAGCCAGTCCTAATCCATACAAAGCTTCTGCTACAACAACATTATGGGGAGTCTGCCCGAACCTAATAGCTAGCCGCAAAAACTTGACCCTAATCATTTGAAGTTTTTCTTGAGTCTCGTCATACTCCTCGGCTTCCAAAGTTGAGGAGTCTTCCATATTTTGGGACTGCTGCACTGCTCGCGGAGCAGGTTTCAATAATGGAGCTGCAGATCCAAGGCCAGCAGGACGAACAAGAGGGGTGGTAGTAGCAACAGATTTTCCAGATGAGGAAACAAACTCACTATTCTGTTCTTCGGGGATCTGAGTCG